GATTAATTGATTTATCGTTTATCGCAACAGGCCTAGCTACAGTTTCATATGTGTATTTTTAGTTGGCTTGGATTACCTTCCCCTCCATTAATAAGTTAAATCATCATTAAACTGCATTTTGTATTTTCTTGGTTTGCTTTCTCTAATCTTTCAAAATCTGCTCAGTGTGAAACATGTTGCAAAGCGTTTTTTACAGCACTGCATTTAGAGCCTTTAGTTTGGTTGTTAGCCTCTCTTATGACCTTAAATGCTTCCTTTAGTTTCATGAAATGGCCTCAAAAAGACCCAGACTTAGACGTTGGTTAATGCTTTAGTCGTGTGTGTGTTTAGGTAGAGATTTTTCTTGTTTGGTTATGTTGTACTGAATGTGAGATGTGTTTAGAATAAACCTGTTTTTCTTTAGTCTTTGTGAGATTTGTATTCTCATAGCACTGTCTTTAAATGCGTATATTATTTGCATTTAAAGGTTTGATATAGTGGTGCACTTTTTTCAGTTTTCTTTAAAAGGCATTATTCAGATTTTAGCCAATACTGATTTTAACTTTTATTTTTAATCATTTAAGAAGTTACTAAATAAAATGACGATCATTAAATGGTGTGACTTGTTAACATGAATTAATATGAATAAATGTGTCAGCTTTGACTTATCAGTGCTGTGGAACAACTCTGAAATCAGGAATGCGTTCATTATCCATTTTATATACAAGCCGCAGTGTTTAGTGTGTAAATATGTTGTTGTCGTGGTAACAATGTCTGCAGTGCTAACAAACGACAGTATTTGTTTACAACAATATTAAGTGTCAAAAGATATTCAGCCTGATTGATTAAACCTGACACACACGGTGTTTCCTGACATGAGGTTCTTTGTAATGGCAGATGAGAATGAGGTGTAATTCAGAGTGCCACCACAATATTCATCAAAAATATCGCCATTGATTAATTTCGCTGAGGTATTTACATTTTTAATTTTAGTGGATTCTGCAGAGTTTTTATGGGTGCTGCTTGAATTTCAATGAGGTGTTTTCAAGGTTTGGAAAGTGCTTGATTTCTGTGTAAAGTCCTTCAAAGTCCTTGATATTCTTTCTGCATAGTTTTGTAAGAAAGGCCAAACTAACTTTTGATTAAAATCCTTAATTTGTAAAGCGTGATTAATAGTTGAAACCAGATATTGAAAGATAATAAATATCAAACTTTTTTTTTGTTTTATGTCAGTTGGAATTACAAATATTATTTCTATTTGCTAATGCTAGAAAGTCTTTGAAAATGCTTTAATTTTACTATGGAAAAAGTGTACGAACCCCAGAATCTATAAGTTTCATTATCTAAGCTTAGGTTTCCAATTTTTTTTTTTTTTAATCCCACAAATTGAAAACTGAACCGACTCACAACAATTTGATCAACTTTCAGTGCTGAATGTTCTTGCTTCCTCTAAGTGGGCCACTGATTAGCCCAGTTTCCAAGCCAGTCAGCTGATTTGTGCAGCGTAGTTTAACTGGGTTTCATCTCTGGCCATCTGCTTCTAAACACCAGAGAGAGGTTGATTCCTCTGCTCTGCTGTTCATGCTACAACTCTAACACCGTCACCTCCATCTCCTCACAGTAAACCATCTTCAGGGTTCTCCCCACTGGAACTGATTTATTGTACGATTTGATATTTTCAGTCAGCAGCAGGCCTGTCACGATAACACATTTTGCTGGACGACAAATTGTCCCAGAAGTTATTAGGATAAACGATAATATTGTTGTTTTCTATATCATTTTCAAGTGATGTAATGCAAGAACACATTCTCAAAGATCAATAGACTTTCAATTCAAATTAACATTTGATGCTGGAACTGGAAGACATTTTAAATATCCAAAATAAGTAAACAGAACAAACAAAATAAAAATTATTTTGAAATCTCTGTAAACAAAATTGACCTTCAGATTAATTGAGACCAAAGTACCAGACTGAAGACTTTTGTCATCCAGTAGAAAGAGAGAAAAAAGAAAAACGATAATTCATGCAAATGGAAATAATTGAGCTTGTTTTATCATGTAATTAATTGATCTACTGCTTATTGCGACAGACCTAGTCAGCAGTGTAATGTTTTCAAAATACATCATTAAACTGATCAGCTGAAGGGTAATAAAGTAAATCCCCCACTCGGTCAAAGTCCTGGGGGGAACCTTGACCTGCTGCCTTCATTAGTTTGAGCATTAACTGAAGGAGAACCTTCAAGGTTAATGTGCTTTGAAGAACGCATTTCAGTATTAATTGGAAAATTGATTTATAGCTGGGGAACCGTGTTGTTGCTTGAGGGATGTTTCATGATGACATTCTTATCCTCATGAAACCCCGATGGTCTCCCCCTGCTGGTTAGGTCCGGTATCGTCGAGAGCACGCATCAGGTCGCCAGCTGCCCTTCTTCCCGCTGCTGGAAGACCTCATGAGGGACGTTTGTGACGGCGGCGCGCTGCTCACCGTGGTCCACTACTACTGCCCTGATATCATGAAGCTGGAGGGTGAGATGTAGTTCATTCACACTTTTACACTCTCAAAATCTCTAGCAACATCTTACTAATTATCAGTTGCCTTCAAATAAACGACAATAAACTTCCTCTGAATAAAATCTTTTTTTTTTTTTTTTTTTTTTTTTTTTTTTTTCAATGGGGTGGTGGTGGAAAAATGTGAAAACTTACCTGGAAAATGCTTGAAAAGTGATTTATTTTTACAGTGGGAAAATGTACAAACCCCTGTGAATGTAGCATGAATGTGTGTAAGACTATTTTTGTTTTTCGCACACGGCTCACAGTTCCTCTCAGCGTGACATTTGTAGTCGTCCGGTCACTGAGCTGCATCCCGATCTGACCCGTTCTCTGCCGCCTGTCTGATCAGATATTTGCCTGAAGGAAGTCCCTTCCATCGCTGATAGTCTGTACAACATCCAGCTGCTGAGAGAATTTGCCAGTGAATATCTGAATAAAAGCTGCTATCTGACAATGGAGGACATGCTCTACTCACCGCTTGTTCTCAAGGTAATCACATCCGACAGATTTCAGTTTCTTTCATGGAAGTCAAAGTACTCAACTTGTACTGCTGCTTTTAAATGTCACCACTTCTCTCCATTCAAGCATTTCTGATGTGCTTCAAACTCTGTCTGCAGCACAACGTTATGGTGTTCATTGCTGAGCTGTTCTGGTGGTTTGAGACGGTCAAGCCAGAGTTCGTCCAACCCAGAGACCTTCAAGAGTTTAAAGATGGTAAGCATCACAACAAACAAAACCCAAAGTGCATTGTTAGTTGGTTCTTTACTTTTTTCCAAAGTTATTAAGAGCCACTCTGGAAGATCCAACGAGCCACTTGTGGTCCCGCAGGTTGCAGATGGCTGTAATTTCTCCCTTTTTTTTCCCCATTTAGCTCGAGCCATAGCTCATCCCAAGAGTGCCCGGCCATCAGTGCCCATCTCCAACGCCACCAAGCGCAGCTTTCTGACTAGTCCTGGCGTGGCAGATAACCAGAGCAACCCCGAAGTCTGTAACAGGTACTTCCTGCACCCCGAAGGCTCTGACCCTCTGTAAGTCTCTTCTCGTCTTTTTTACTTTCCCTTCACCTCCTTTTTTAGCAGCTGCAGTAAATTCAAACATGGGTACATGTAGTGGTGTCTGGTGTTCCTTCTCACATGATTCTGTGTCATGGTTGTCTAAACCCATTCCAACTGTGTGTTTTCTGTGCTGTCTTGAAATATAATGTGAGGCATTTAGGGCTGCAACTGACAATTATTCTGACTATTATTCAGATTTTTTTTAAAAAGCACATTCTGCGCATTTTTCATTTTATTCTGTATATAAAACAAATACAGTTCATTCTTTGAATGAGAAAATGAACATTTTATTGAATAAAATGCAATAAAATTGAATTCCTTCAGTGTATGCTTGATCATTTTTAGCAAAGGATGCATCTGCAGCTAAAACATTTCTAACGTGTGAAAAGCTCGGCCCTTTCTGCTTGATTTAACATCGGTACAGTGCAGAGCTAAATTTTGTTACAGAATTTGTACTAAGTGAAGTTAAACTAAGTAATTTGAGAAGTTCTGGCAAAATGTATATATTATTTGTACAGTTTTGGTTTTACGACTCTGAATATGATGCTTTTCATCAAATTACCTTTTTTATGTATGTGTACTCCAGTTAACAATTAATCTATTCCTAAATTGCTAATAATTTCAATCACTATTACAGTTTCAACCCTAGAAGCATTAGATTCTATTGAAATGTACTGTTTTTATTGTTTCTTTGTCTATTTTTTACAGTAAGGGTTTCTTAGGAACTTCTAATTGCATTTGTTATGCTTGCTCTTAGTAAGGGCGGTCCGGCCTTCAGTCCCTCTCATCCACTGCTTCCTCTTAGACAGAGGCAACAAAAACAGCAAGGGGACGACGGCGGAGGTAAATATAAGTCTTCACATCTCTTGGGAATGAAGGTTCATTTTCTTGTCCTACTTCATTTTTATTTTTTCCCTCCGTAGGCTTGAGAAACCGTTCGAACTCTCTCAGTCAGATGGATGGACAACAACTCAGAGGCTCTGCTGCAGCGTGGCCCGACAAAAGGCAAAGGTACATGGGAAAAAAAACACACTTTTATTCAATCGATGTCATATTTACAGTTGCTGTTAGTACTCCCAGCCTTTGAACTTGAACACATTTTGTCAGTACAACCACTAACGTCTTTTTTATTGGGATTTTATTTGATAGATCACTACAAAGTAGTGCATGGCTTTAAAGTGGAAAGAAACTTGTTGCTATGATACCCCTAAATAAAACTGCAACCACGATGTGTTGTGTGGAAGCCTATCATTCGAACCAAACCAAACTCCTGAATTACTGGAGTCCGAAGTTCAACCTAGGGGTATGAAATGATTGAATGTCAAACACAATTTAAGAATGGTGCAAATTTGACCTCCTGCCAACTTCCTTTCCGTCCTAATCTGACCACAAAAGTGGAAAAATTGTAAACTGTACATCATTCAAATTCAAAAATACTTAATTGATCCAAAGGGAAATTAATCATAAAAAAACTTTTTGTTTTTTAGACCCCTGTCCACGCTGAGCCCCTTCATGCTGCATTCTGCCACCGACAGCGACGCTGACATTGCCTCTGGCGACAGCGTGAGTCTGGCTCGCTCCATTAGCAAGGACAGCCTGGCGTCCAACGTCACCAACGTCACTCCTAAACATCAGACCGCCGTCCACCAGTCGTCTGCCATGCGAAGAGTCAACGGCCACAATCTACTGAGTCATGTCAACATGGAGGACGGGGAAGAAACTCCCGCCGACGCTACTGTCATCCCAAAACGATCCGACGGGCCTGCTGCGTCAGCCACAGCCATACCTAGACCTTCCTCCGACTCCACTCCTGACGCCGACGGCTTTTACCTTGAACCACTGATGCCTGCTGTTCTGAAAACGGCTAAAGAGAAATCTGTATGTCTGAACAAAGAGGAGGAGAGCGGGGAGGGGCCCCGCTCGGCAGGTAGGGGTTCCTTACGCCGTGGAGATGGGTCTTCAGCTGCCGTTCGCAGAAAAGCGCCTTCTGATCTCAACCAGACGTTTCCCGCTCCAGGCGAAGAGGAACGCTTGACGGACGAGCGGCAGCAGGCGGATTTCAGAGCGGTCATAACCAGGGAGCCAGCTGAAGGTTTCTACCTTACTCGGACTCTGCCCAGCCAAAGTGCGTCCACGGTCCGGAGGCAGAGCTGGAGGACCTGGATGAGGAAGAGGAGGATCTGGACGAAGCTCTGACCACTAAAGACTCGAGGAAAGGTTACGGCGAAGCAGACGAAGAGGAGTCAGCCAAGCTCCAGGAGGACATGAATGTCAAAGAGCACGAAGACAAAGACTTTAATGGCGCCAGCGGCCGCTCCAGCCCCTGCCTCAGCACACACTCCCAAGCTAGCAGCATGGCCAGCGGCAGCGTGCGCATGACCTCCTTCGCTGAGCGAAAAGCGCAGCAGCAGCGCTTCGGCAGCAACCACGACCTGCGCTCCAGCGCCTCCAGCTCCCAGAGGACGACCCCGGACGGGTCGGAGAGCAGCGGACCCCTGTCGTCGTCTTGGAGACTGAAGAGAGATCAGAGCACTTCCTCCCCCTTGGGAGGGTGCAATCGTCCAGGTGACGGTGGCACCAACGTGCTGGCGTCTGAAATCGTTCAGCTCCGGATGCAGCTGGAGGAGAAGCGGCGAGCCATTGAGCACCAGAAGAAGAAGATGGAGGTGCTGGCGGCGAGGCAGAGACAGAAGCTGGGCAAAGCGGCGTTTCTGCACATCGTTAAGAAAGGAGGCGGACGGAGCGACACGCTGCCCAGCTCACTCAAAGCAGACATCTCTAAAGACGATCTCAACGGGGAGAAGGGACCCTTAAGCAAAGACGATATGTGTGTCGACACCCTACGGGGGCAGAAGGAGGCAGAGGGGATGGGTGCCTTGGAAGCAGACAAGAAGGGGAACGGCGGGAGCTTTTATCTCGACGAGGAACTGGACCTGAACGAGTGCAGCCGCTCCATCGAGCTGCTGAACGAAGCCATCGGCAGCATCCAGCAGCAGATGATGCAACTGTCGCTGCAGCAGGAGATGCTGATGAAACAGAATGTGCAATCCCCACCCTGCGCGACGCCGCCTCCTCCACACGCAGGAGACAAAAACGGTGACTCGAAGACGGGAGGCTTTCACTTCGTGGAGCACCTCTCTGGGTCGGGCAGCGCCCCCACCAGGAAGCCGCCCAAGCTGAGCTCAGGCCGGAGCTCCAGGTCCAAGCCGTCCGAGCTGAAACTGGCGAAGGAGCAGAGCCGACCGGCCTCCAGGGCTCTCACCCCGACCCAGGGCGGGTCAGAAACCTTAGCAAGCCCACGGCAGTTATCTGGAGGCAGGTCCCCCAGATGCGATCGAAACCCCACCGCCGCGGAGATGATGGACCGACCGGGATCTGGGCATGTCAGAAGTGCCACCTTCCGCCTTCAGGACGAGGCTAACATGCGCCTGCCAACCCGCGTGGACCTAGCATGCGTGCCTGCACCAGAACCGCTTGGCGAGTCTGGGTCCAGCACGCAGGTAGAGGGTGACGTCAGTTCCTCAGAGAAGGAAGGACTCCTGTCAGAAGAGGCACAGCGAAGCAAAACCCACCTGATTGAGGTGGATCTGTCCGAGCTGAAGGCCCCAGAGGAAGAGGAGGGCACCGAGGACGCCGCGGCAGAGAAAGGCGATGGAGAGCAGAAGTCAGTGATGGGCTTCTTCTTCAAGGTAATCCTTTTCTCATTTCATGTTTGTTTTGTTTTTTTTGTTTGTTTTTTTTTGTTTCTTTTCGTATAACGATTTTATGAGCTGAAGTAAGGCTGGACAAAATGACTGAAAAAGCCATCATAAGTGTGTGTGCTGTGGTGGTGCAGGGGTTAAACACAACCCACATATGGAGGCCTTAGTCCTCCATGCAGCTGTCGCAGGTTCGATTCCCGGCCTTGGCGACCTTTGCTGCATGTCTTCCCCCTTCTCTCATTACCCACTTTCCTGTCAATTAACTATCAAATAAAGGCCACTAGAGCCAAAAAGATCTTTAAAAAAAAAGCCATCGTAATATAAAGTTTCATATCAGTTGATATTAATAATTGTCTATTGATAATTATTGATTAGGTTTTATTTATTTATTTTTTTTAAATATCTGTAGTACTGCCAAACAGGTGAGGTGATCTTTATCATTTTTAACATTTTTAGGATTCACGGTGGTGAAACCTTAAACTGCTGCTGTACCAGTTTGTTGCTCGGCAACCAAAAAGTGAGTGAGTTGCTAGGGAACCAAAGACTGAGTGAGTTGGTTGATGCCATCAAATTTGCTTTGCTAGCATTGAGAGTTTCAGCGGCTAAAGCCTTTTCTCTGCCTACATCCCCCAGAATGCTGTGCGGTTCTGGATTGGCGTTCAGTAAATATTCTATTCTAAAATATAGATTATCTATTGATATTGATCGCTTGTCTACCGCAATATATATTGTTACAGATTTATTCCCCAGTCCCAAGCTTAAGTGATCTTTACTTGTCTACTCATCCACTGTATTATATTATTAATGCAGCTTATTACAAAAATTTTGCACAAACATTTTCCAAAGTACAGATGCCTAACAGCACATCTACGTTAAGCATTTAACTTTCCTACTACCAGATATGAATAGACTTGCTCTATTTTTCTGAACTGTAATTCAGTTTTTTTCATCGTTTGGCTGGTAGTGTGTCTTACAGTCATTGTTTTTTTCCCTCTTCATGTCATATTTTTGGACTAATGCAACTTATACTCTGGAGCGACAGAAAGTTAGTACATTTAGGACTGTACTTCTCTCTTGCTTTGTTACAAGAACACCAGTCTCATTTTTGACCTAAGAGAATCTTGGGAAAGTATGAGCTGCGAATGATGAATTTGGAGGAGTCTTGGTCACATCACTGTGACGTAATCGGTCTACTAATGCAGCCTTTGAATATGGACACACACAACATTGATCTTAAACCACTTTGTAAAGGGTTTGACTTTTCTGTTGAGGGTGGATTGGAAAATTAGAGTTGAGTATTTGAAAAGGAAAATGTGCGTTACCTCTCCAAGTAGTCATAAAGTATTGATTTTATCTCTACAGTGAAATTTGGTCTAGTTGTTTTGTAATTAAATGATGTTTAACATTTTACCATATCCTAGGATGAGCAGAAAGCTGAGGATGAACTTGCGAAGAAGAGGGCAGCATTCCTGCTGAAACAACAGAAGAAAGCCGAGGAGGCTCGTATTCGCAAACAACAGCTAGAAGCTGAATCCGAACTGAAACGAGATGAAGCCAGGTAGATCAACCAGTAATGGCAAACGGATCTTACCGTCCCATAAAATGCTAAAATTGGTATTTGGTTTGAACAAGGCGAAAAGCGGAGGAGGACCGCTTGCGTAAAGAGGAGGAGAAGACGCGGCGGGAGCTGATAAAGCAGGAGTATCTTCGGCGGAAGCAGCAGGAGATGTTTGAGGAGCAAGGCCTGGTGAAGCCCAAAACGCCCAAACCCAAGCAGAAACACAAACACAAGGCGGTTATCAGAGAGGAATCTGCCACTGATGATTTCTCCAAGTGCTCTTCCACACGTGAGACTCTTAAATCAGAACTTCCCTTCACATTAAAGCTGCACTGTGTAACTTTTATTAAATATATTTGGTGAAACTGTCACTATGTTAAGACTGTATGTTAAGAGACAGAAAATCTGAAAAAAAAAATTGAGCTCATCTGCCTTCTCCCAGTGATAACTAGAATCAACCAATCAGGGTCTCAGCGCTGTAAATCAGTCTCCTGTAGCGCTGCTCATTCCCTTTTCATTCCCCTCCTTTAGCTATGCTGCAGCTAGCTATGCTGCAGCTAGCAAAGCCTGCAGCGAATGCTAAGGCTAGTTAGCATGTACACCGAACATGGTGGATAATCGGTTTTTCTGTAAAGGCAAGTTGTTTCTCCAACATTTGCTCATTTAGCAGCAAGTACATGATGTTGATTGACAGCGCTGAGGCTCTCCTCTTGGTTCTGATTGGTTAATTTTGACAGGGAGCATTGCATTTTTTTATACGACAATAGTTGTTCAAGGAGGAGGTGAAGGAAACTGATCTTTTCACAGAATATCTGTCCCATAAGATTACATCATGTCAAAAAACATACTTCTTATATATTTTATCTTTTCCAGTTCTTTGCTTTACTTTTGTTACATCTACAGATATATTACCAAGATTTTCTTTCCAAACCCCAAATTGCGTTGCATTAAACATTGAATTTCTCTTCTTTGCAGCAGACAACCTGAGCAACGCCCAGTCAGGCTCCAATCTGTCTCTGGCCTCTGCAGCGACAAACGAGGCCGACAGCGTCAACTCCGGAGGGGCCGGCTCCCAGCGGTAAATTACACCACAGCTGCATTTGTAATTGTAACCTTGTTAATTGTGAATCTGTTCTGTAATGAATTACGACATCCCCTAATTTCTCTCGCTCTCTGTTTTTGTTGCCGTGTCCAGCTGTGACTCTGTGGAGTCGTTTCCAGGCAGTCGCAACAACAGCCGAGCCGCAGAGAGAGACTGGGACAACGGCTCCACCGCGTCCTCCATCACTTCCATGGCTGAATACACTGGTGAGGAAAAAGGCTGCAACTATCTGTTGTTTCAAAAATGCTGGTTTTTCATCCAAACATTTAAGTTGTTTTACATAATATTAAATTCAAATAAAGAATTTATTTTTTTAAATAAAATGTTTTATTGCCTAAACTTCAATAACACAGCGTTCCTTTCGTGTACGCTTGATCATTTGTAGCAAAGGATGCATCTGCAGCTAAACATCAACATTTAAAAAGCTGAGTCTTTTACACTCGACTTATACTGTAGAACTGATCTGTTTACTTTTTTTTCAATAAACTGATTAATAATCATATATAAATGTTTTAATAGGAAAACAGGGGAAGCTAAAACTGTCACTTGAAGATTCTTCGATTGAACATATTTTCAGATAGCTTTTTTATTAATGCAAAACTTGTGTATATATATATGTATATATTTTTTTTTTTTGTAGAGTTTTGACTTAATTACTGCTGAGTAGGGTTTTCTTGAGCAAATAGCTTTTTTGAGCCTGCATACTCCAGTTACCGATTAACCGATTACTCAGTTAGTTAATGATTATTTCAATAATTGATTTATCCCAATTAATCCGTTTAATAGTTCCAGCTCTAGTGAGAACATAGATCAATTGTTTTGTTGGTTTTTAGTCGACACTGGTGTAATAATAGTTGCTATTTGTTTCTTTGACTGAAAATGAATGTAGTTATTCAGTTTCTTTGCTTTTGTTGGTCATTTTCAGAATTCAAAGCTTGACTCTTGCTGTGAATGTTATGTTTAATTTTCTGACACATTACCATTTGTCTTATTATAATTTGATCAACTTTTTTTGCTTCGTTAGGCCCTAAACTTTTCAAAGAGCCCAGTGCCAAGTCAAATAAGCCCATCATACACAATGCAATCTCTCATTGCTGCCTGGCGGGGAAAGTCAACGAACCCCAGAAGAACCAGATCCTGGAGGTCAGTTTTCTACCTGAACTAGACCAACTTATGAGATTAGTGAATTTTCTTAGCTTAACCCGTTTATACAAAGTTTCCTCATTAAAGCTCCACTTTCTCTGCCTGTCGGTGTTTGCATTTTTCTAAGTGTTCAAAGATGTGCCAGCCCAACCTTAAACTTCTTAACTTCACTTGTCTGCCGTGCTTCTCCTAGGAAGAGTGTGATTTGTTTTGGTTTTTCTTCCTTTCAGTGTTTTGAATTGTTGCGCTCAGAATTTAATTTCTTCTCCTCGTTTTTCTCCCTCTCCAGGAGCTGGAGAAGTGTGAATCCAACCACCTGATGATCCTGTTTCGTGATGGCGGCTGCCAGTTCCGGGCACTCTACACCTACTTCCCTGACACGGAAGAGATCCATAAGCTGACGGGCACCGGACCCAAGAGCATCAGCAAGAAGATGATCGACAAGCTGTACAAGTACAGCTCGGACCGCAAACAGTTCACCGTCATCCCTGCCAAGACTGTGTCGGTGAGCGTGGACGCTCTGACCATCCACAACCACCTGTGGCAGGCCAAGAGAAGCGCTGTGCCAAAGAAAACGGGGAAGTAGCAGACCGCTTTCAGATCTGCGCCGTCTTATCTCGCCGCCCAGCTTGGCCTGGAAACCTACTTGGGAGGATTCACGTCTAGGTGGAGGGACTGGTGAATCATCTCCTCCTCCTCCCTGTGATATCGGTGTGATTGCTTCAGGTTTATTTTAGTTATTTTGAAGCAAGCATGTGGCATTGTTTCTCTAATATGTAGAGAACGTCCATTTTTACATGGAGTATTTATTAGTTCAGCACTGTCGTGGTTGAAAGCTCGGCCGCAGCACTAAAACCCCTTCTCCTTCGGATAGATGTAGGCATGAAGGTGGAGAGACGTTTGTTTTACCTGTTTAGGATCATCGGACCACTCCGTCAATCTGTTTCCATGTTGACTGTCAAATCAGGCTGGCATCGCCGACTTCTGCCTCACCACCGATGTCCAGAATCCTGCTGCTCTGAACTTTTTTTTCTTCTTTTCGTCAGGATGGAGGAATCTCCAGACATCCTTTTGCCTTCTCTCACGCATCGTGGTACTATCATCCATTTATTCAGCCGCTTTTTAAACTAGACGCTGATCGTGTAGCACCGGGTAGGTGTGTTGCAAAAAAGGGAAAAAACTGATCATTTTATCTACATTTTTATTTGTTGAAACATCCCTTTTTTTTCCCCTTGAGGAGTTTTAGAAAAACGGGGAAACTACAGGCCTTGGTACAACAGTTTTTGTTTCGTTTTAGCTTTATTAAATCATTTTTATTGAAGCGATGTAGTTCAAGTTTACGCAGATGTTATGTGTTTTCATCATAACGGGAATTCTCTGATGTTTAGAGCTTAGTTGTGTTTTGGTTGTTTTTTTTGTTTTTGTTTTTTTTTTTTTTTTCTCTCCACCGGGCACTCTTGAATTGTCCTGTACAAAGGTGCACTCAAAATACTTGTCGACGGCTTCTTTTCATGCAATGTAACCCTTCCGCCTCTTCCTCCCCTCTGAGTATTTACATCCCGTCTTTATTCACACGAGCAGAGGACACTCTCGTCGTGAAGGGTGCTTCCCGCTTTGCTCGACTGACAGTATTTGATATCCTCACGCTGGGGGGAGGGATTGAGGGAGGGCTTGTGGCTCAGTTGTGTATCAACATTAAAGAACATTCCTCCAAGGTGTTGACAAGCACTGCCACATCGTCTCTCTTCTTCACTGTCTTTGCAAAACTTCAAAGTGCTTCTTCTTCTTCTTCCTTGTTTTTTTTTTCCTTTTCTTTTTGTTAAATAAACCATTCGTTGGCCTCGAACAACCAGAAGTGTCGCACAAGCACTTTACTTTCTGTTCGGTTTCAGAGTTTGACAAACTAATACGTAACACTGCTGTTTGTGTAAAGAAAAATCAAACGCTAAAGATTTGATACTGACGGCTGCAGCTGAGGAGCGTCACTGAATCGTTGCTACTGCTGAATCTCCAAAAGTTACTCGATACTTGATGAATCGTTTGCTGCATTTTGATGTCTGCGTGTGTGTGTGTGTGTGTGTGTGTGTGTGGAGGGGTGCATAAGTGGTGGAAAGTGGTCTTTAAATGTATGAAAGTATATTTTTATGTTAACTAAAAGATTGTATTGACATTTGATCACCATTTTTTGTTACACTAGTGTACTTTTCATCCATGTTTAATTTTATCTTTGGTCCCATGTCATCTATTTATTTTAAAATTGAAGCACTGAAACAATAAATTTCCAAGTAAATAAAAGTCACTTTTTTTCCATTTCTGTTTTGTTTGATTTGTCCATCACTCTTGCTGTTTTTCTTTCACTGGCACTGCACTGACTTCACTCTTTTTGCTTTACTTTGTCATGCCACTGCATCTTTTTCACGGGAGTGTTTGTCAGAAAACTGATACTGCTGTGTTTACATTGAGGTTTCTAAATTAACCACATCTCTGGGACCCCCCGGCGCAAACTGCTGCTCACTCTGCCAACCAACTGGAACCGCGACTTTTAACGCCAGCTCTCGTAACCATGGCGAGACATGATCCTCCTTGGCAACCAGTCCTGGTTGTTCAGGTGATGACCATCAAACTGTGCGGACGGTTCTTTCCAGAGTCAAACGGAGATGAGCGTTTGATCCGTCTACTCAAAATGAAAGGTGAGTTGTCAGACTTGTTGCTCCAGAAGCTTTTCCATTTAAAATGTGGAGTTTTCGTGTGATTGATGCTGTACGTTTCCACAGGCGTAGTCGCTCTGGCTGTGTTGTTGGGAAGTGTTCGTCTCGGACGTCCCTGTGCAAAAGGGGAGTCGGTTTTGTTCTGCTTTGACGCTCTAACAAGTGAGAACTCCAGCTTTTAAACTTTGAGATGAATAAAGTTCACAGATTAAGCAGCAACAGCTTCACTGAAAAATAAAATTGAGTTTTTAGAGAAACTGGTATTACCTTATGAAACTTGTTCATGCATTTAAACACTGATGTTTACGACTGTAGTAGGAATTTGATTCTAATCCAACAGTTTCTCTGCATTTGAACTATCAGTCAAATCCTCAGCTGTATTAGGTATACAATTTCCCTAAGATGACTTATGTTGGTTTTATTTAACTTACTGCAGCAGTGTTGGATTGAAATGTTCTCAATCCAACATTAAAAACTTTAGACTCACTTTCAAATTCAAGTTTTTCTTTTGGCATTCCTTCCAAACAAAACTTGATCATTTTTATGATGCATTTTAAACCCTAGAAATATGTACTCATTTTGCCATAATGTAAACAAATATATAAGCTGGTATTTCAGATTTGTAAAGCAAAGGAGACATATGTATCTTTGTGCTTCACTTTTTCTCTCAGATTTCATCCCTAATTGTACAACCATGATTGTGGCTTTAGCGAACGTTGGAGAAATCAACTCCACGGTTCTGCAAAGCGTGAGCCTCTCCTCCATCAGAAAGTTCGAAAGCCAAAACTCGGGTATCACAGGAATCGCTGAGAATGCCTTCAGCTCTTTTTCGCATCTGAAAATTCTCATTTTACATGGCAACAGTTTGTCCAACGTTAACCAGAACTGGTTCAGAAGCCCTGCTACTATCACTGAGCTAGATTTCTCTTCCAATCTGATTAAATATTTGAACGAGTCGAATCTGACGGGACTCGCAAACCTCAAGAAGCTCAATCTGAGCGGGAACAAGATCCACACCATCCATCCAGATGCCTTCAGATCCCAGAGGAAGTTGACTGACCTGGATTTGTCAGACAACCAGTTGACGAGGCTTTCCCCACAGATCTTCATGGCTCTAAAGTCTCTAATGTCCATCAGACTTTATGGGAATCCCTGGAGCTGCTCTTGTGATGCCCAGGACTTTGTTGACTCTCTGAAAGGTTTGTAACTTGTGGCACTAAGAGCTCAAACTGTTTTCAGAACATTTAAAGGTTAAAACTCCTTCCTTGTCCTCAGAACTGAATACATCTCTGCTGGTGAATCGGATGAGTGTGAAATGTAAGACTCCTCCACATCTGGAAGGTCGACCAGTCTTCAACGTGTCTGCGTGTTCGACTGCCACACCTCCATTGAGGAGTTCAGCGACTCCAACCAGTACATCTGTCATTTCAACATGTTTGGTTGTGATCCAAGATTAATCCTTAGACCCTTTTTTTTTAATCGCTTTCTGTGAATAAATATTGTTTGTACCTTTTTGATCTTCAGGTAAAACTCAAACAACTCGCTCACAGCAAACATCTGGAAAGACAGAAAGATCTTTCCATACCAAATCCACTACCCCAACTCGAACAACTTCTGCTCTCATGGGTACATGTGGATTATTTCTCCTCCTTTCTGTTTTAATCTCTTAAAAGTGTTTCTTCAGCTTCATCTCTCAGCAACACTTTCCTCTTCAGAGACTTCTGAGAGAACAAAACCGCCTGATGCCACAGCGTCATCTTCATCCCCTGGTACATCTGGGCTAATTATTTAACATTAGACATAGTTTTCCCTACTTGGTATGTGCAGGCTGATACTTTTAGGATCCTTTTATATCAGTGTAAAACTAAGGGCAAACAATTGGTCAACTTAAAGGTAAATGAAGAATATGTGTGAAGTAAGATGTATAAAAGGAGGCTGGATTAAATAAGTTATCAAAAATGTATATTATGGTATTTGAATTGTGAATTTATTTGTATTAGGTAAAAACTCTGCTAAAATAATTTAGAATAAAACACCAGGTAAAAAGCTGTCTGCTTTAAATGCCCAGATAATATACTTCTTGACTGATATTTATATAATTATTATATGATTAAAATCTGTAGCTGCTGTGGTTTTGTTGAAATTTTTTAATGTCTACATACATGCCTTAGTTTTATACAGGAATAAAAATAAGGACGACAAACACACCAGTAAAGTTTTCTTGGTGGCTTTGTGACCAACAGCACCACCATGCGGTCATAGTTAGAAATTACATCTTTCAGGTCATTCTTCCCTCGGAGGTTAAATATATATTTTTTCTAACACCAAATTCAGTCTTTTGGCATCGAGATGATCAGCTTGTGGTTCTGCTAAGGCATCGAGGAAGCCCCGGTTGCGTTCATAGCGGCCTTAAGCTCATCTTTATCGTTATTTCCGGTCTCTCTTGATTTGCTTTTGACAATACTTCTTGAGTTCTCAGAGTTTTACGTAAAGCCAGATTTCTGTATTGTTACTTATGACGGTGTTAGCCGGAGCCAAAGCTTTGTTAGGAAATTATGAGGTAGTCTAAAGTTTCCTGGTCTTCACTAACTTTGGATTTGAAAAAAGCGCAGCAGATCAACAGTCGTTTATTCAGACTTTATTTTCAGGATAAAACTCTTATGAGACTCTATCAGTCATTGTCAGGTCGCCGCTCCATTGCAGTTGAAATATATTATTGTGATTTAATAACCAATTCAGTTAAATACTTCTGTACTTTAATGCGTTTCTCATCGGGTCTGATGCTTCGTGAAACAGAAATTATACTAGAATTGGCCTGAAATCCTGTCTCTTACCAGCAGGCGGCGCCAGTGGAACATGTAACTGCTTTCATCTCGCTTCCTTGGCAAAAATTGAATTGAGATTAATCTTACATCAAGAAATGATTGTATGCATTCCATTTTGTAGAGTTTTTATTAATTTTTTTAAATCTTTTGTTGCTGTCAGGACATTATGTGACGACATTATCATCAGTCATCAGACCTGTAACTACACCTACACGAGTCGTAGGTGTGTGTGATTCTTCTGAATCAGTCTCACATTTAAAACCAAATGTATTAATTTGTATTTCCTTCATCCTCAGGTTCATCCACAACCTCAAACACAAAGATCTGCACTCTAATCGCTGTTATTGGTTTGAGTCCTCTTTTTATTTGAACATTTTTAGTTAATTTGGTTTGAAAAATCTCATCTTGATATTAGATTATGGCTTTCTTCTTGTGCAGTGGTCCTATGCGTGCTGCTGCTTTTTGCGTGTTTCATGGCACTGATGCATAGGAGGAATCGCAGTAACAAAGCTGTGAGGCCTGGATGTCCAACAGAAGAAGAAGAGAAGCAGGAAGGAGATGGCGTGTCGAGTCGGGATCAATCTGGATGTCTGGAAAAGGCTCGGAAAAAATCTTTCGCTGGCATCAGAGCAAAGTCTGCAAACGCAGTCATCCTCTCAACTCCTTTCTGTGTGTCTGAGAATGACAAAGTCACTTCTGAAGACTCTGAAAAAGAGAACCTTGGAGCTGAAATGGGAGGAGAAGTTCACCCAGAGACTTTCACAACCAGAGACTCGATGGAGGAGTGTGTGATGCAAGAAGGTGATGATGGAAATCCCTGTGAAAACCAGGAGTGTGATCATGTCAACATGGACGTTATACCGTACTTGAGTATTGGCACCAAGCAGAACAAACCAAATCCTGATGAAGAGTCTGCAGAAGGTCCAGGTCAGAGTCATCAGAGAGGAAAATTCATGAGGATCTCCACCTGGCCTCCTACTGCAGCTCAGTGGCAGGCAAGATGCAAAGCCAAAGAGGAGGAAGAGGAAGCTGATGAGTTTACTGTTTGGACTCGGAATGCAACTGTGAAGGTCTCAGAAGATGTGAAGATGATGATGGAGCAATCCAGCAGCAGCTCTAACCGGTGTGAAGACGAGGAAACAAACATAACTCTGAGTCTTTCAGACAGCTTCAAACCTCTGGAGACTCCTGTCCGCGTGTCGGAGGGGGAAGAAATGAACCTGGATCCAGATTCTGCAACACAGACAGACATCTGGGTCAGCACCGGCGAAGAGCGGAAGCCCGAAGAACATCCGGCACAGAAGAAGAGAGAGGCAGGTGTGAGGAAGAACCAGAAGCGGTCTGCGACCGTCAAACAGAGGGCAGAAAACAGAGCCGCCGCTGGGGCGAAGGCGCCCTCTGGTGGCGCCTCTCCAGATGATGAAACTCTGCTGTCAGGGAATGAATACGCCTTCATGGACCTGCTTCATGAAGTGGTTCAGAACAACGGCCGCTGGACGAGAGAGAGGTGGAAACAGAATAATATTAACAAGCAGCGGCGATGAGATCAGATTCAACACTCTTAAGATTATCCTGTGAGAGTGGATCATTAGTTTAGACAACAGGATAGTTTCAAGAGTTTCTTAAAATTAACATATTCACTTCCTATACAATTTTTTTTCTTCCATTTGGATCTCAGCTGCCTGCCTTTTTACTGTATTTTTTTTCTGTGACAAGCAAATCTGATTACGTCACATTCCACGGGCACTAAGCTGTTGCCTAGCAACCCCAGCTGAGCCCAACCCATCACCTAATAACACAAGCAGCTCGTTTGGTCAGCTGGTTTTACCACTCCTGGAAAATACAAGCGTTTTGTTGTTGACTTATTGTTCTGAAAATATTTGCTGCATTATTGTTGGTTGTGCAGGCGGCTCTACTTCGGCTTTTCAAAAATGTACAATTGTATAATTGCACGAGTTGAAATAAATTGAAGCAATGGTGACTGTTTATCACCATCGGATTGAATGTTTATCATAAACTCAGTATGGGGTCAAATAAAAGCATCTTCCAGTCGGTGGATTTGGATGCATGCTGCATTTATTTGTTCATTTCTGTATGTGCACTTCTCATAAGAAATAGTACAAAATGGATCATCCTCTGTTTGACAATGAATCAAAAACAAAGTGGAGATAAACATAATACATTGGCTTTTGATAACATCTAGACGACATGCACGTTCCATTCATATAAATACAGAGTATCAAATAATGGCTCCAACTTGCAAGCAGTTGATTCAGTTATGGGGTTTTTTTTATCTAGCGACAGGACGCCACGCTAACTGTTCTGCTAACGGTAGGAAATGTTTCGTTCTTGGCAAGCTTTTTATATCAAAACATGCTTTTAAGAGATAACATGCCCCGTGTGTTGAGTCCAGACATCAGAAGACATCAAGTGAAGTCCTTCAGTGCTATAAAGGTTTGTTGTGAGGATCCTGTAAGGTGTTACATTAGTGGTTGCATCCTCCATCACAGTCACTTTCACTGAACTGTTACTTCTGACTCTGTGAAACACATTTTCTGGACCAGTAAAGAAAACAACGCAATCCCTTCTCTATAACTTTAGGATAGCTTGCAATGAGAAATAAGAACAGCATACCTAAAATTAAAATCTGCAAACATCTGAAGTCATGCTAATGAATGCATGATCGGTCTTTGCTTTGCCGGTAAATATTGTCCATGTTCTACAGATTCAAATTAAAGGGTCATGCTGTCACGCTCTGCACGTCGCCACAGAGCTTAGTGCAAAAATAGTTCAAGTCCTTTTTACTTTTCATGGCTACAAAGCCATGTATACAATTCATATTTATAGTGATTAAACCCAAGATACAGATGAAAATTAATGACTCGGGCATAAATACTGAAACTGCGGTGTACACAAACCACAGCACTTGGTTTTCAAAATAAATGTATGACAATTAAACACTTGATTATGTTTGTGAATACCTGTGCAAAATATCCTGCTGTGCAGAACTTAAAAGGCCATTTAAAGCGTGCTAGTCGTTTACAATCAAAATGATTTTGTAGCTCAGATGTTTTTTGTCAAATCGGGTTTTAAATTTTCAAAAACAGAGAAAAAAAAAAAACTGTTCCACTAACGATCTCCCTGAAACAACAGCTATAGTTGTAACTTTATATATTGATATGATTTACAGTGCAGGGAAAAAGTATTTGCTCTTTTTCAGAGCAAAAATTACATGTCAACTAGTTCACTGAAGTTAGCATGTGTACAGTCTGGCTATTCACACTCAGTAGCTAAAACCTCACGCTAAACTTAGCTGAGCTAATGGTTTGATAATTTAAGAGGTACATGTTGCAAAAAAATAAAAATAATTCTCCCCAAATATTTTAAAAAGTCAGTATTTCATAGTGCTGTGAGGAGCTGGGGGAAAGCAGAGCTCATGTTTTATCTGCATGTCTCCCCCCCTCACATCTAACCTTCCTGTCTAAAACTGTCAAAGACCAATAAAACATTTTTAAGTCAGTATTTCTTTACACTTTAGCCATTATATGGATGGAGAAACACAATAAATAATAAAAATAATTAATTCTAATTTAAGTTTTTGAAAAAAAAAATATATGAAAAAAGATTAGGGCCACAACAAAAAAGTCAAAATTCTGACTTTTTCTTCAAATTCTAGGATTAAACTCAGAATTCTGGGATTAAAATAAATAAAGTCAGAACTTTTAGATTTTTTTTTCCAGTCCACCTCCATTAAATTCATTTTTCCTAACAAGCAAATCAAATTTGATTTAAATAGCAAGTATTATCATTAAAAGTGGTTAAATTTGGCACTGAATTTGATATGATAGCCTCCTTAAAAATATGTATTTTTCGAACTATATGTTCTTTCTTCTGTATGTTTACTTTTTGCACGGCAGCAGCAGCAGCAGCAGATGTTGCAGTCAGGTTTGAAAATGATACAAAAAAAAGAAAAACACTGGTGTCACAAAAATAAATACAAAAATGGCACAGTAATAACAGTATTTACAAATAAATAAACAAAACTTCATAGAATGTGGAGCTGTCATGATTTCTAACAGGGAAATAATTTAACAATGTTCATTTTTCATCAACTGACACAATTACAGAGAGAAATGCTAACTTGGCTAATAAAGGTGCAACTGGTGTAAGCATGTAATAAATTTAAAACAATGACAAAAAGTTCACAAGGATAAATGAAAGTGACAGTAAAGTAAGAAAATTGCACATGTACCTTATTTTCCTGGTAATACTTGAAAATGTAGAAAACCAACCCAATCATCAGCTCTCTAGCAAACCGTGATGCTTAAGTTGTCGGATGTGAATGGTTTTCAGTTAGTTTCTGATTATAAGCAGAAACAGGCGAAGAAATTGGCAAAAAGCCGGTAGTGGCACAAGGGCAGCTTCCCCCCCACCTGAGCAAAACATGAAATGAAATTATTTTACCCATCGGCCCAGAAACCGGTTTTAATCATCCAATCACGACCAACAACCCTTCTGATCTCGGCGGTCGGGCTGGACAGAGGAAGTAGCGTCAGGTTCTCGTTTGCAGGGAGTTTTGTGAGGGGAAGTGATGACTAGGCACTCTTCATGCATCCTCCAATGGCAGCTCTGATGAAAACGGGAATCTCAGGGCCGTCTTTTAGGATGTGGCTAATTTCTGGTCTCAGGCCGAGAGACACTTAATGCACATTCACTATGAACACCTCATCACCGCCCCTGGCGGGCCTTCGTTTGTGCGAGGTATATGAGATCTATTTAAAAGACTCAAAGCTTTTAAAGGTGAGTTTCATTTCTTGACTGTGCGCCAAAGTCCTGTTGGTTCTTGGTGTTTCGGGCCGCCTGTCCCATCTGTGAGTCCTCTGGCATGTGAGCCAGAGGGTCAGAGCGAATAATGTACCTGTAAGGACAAAATCATCCACGTTATTCTTCATCTGCTACTCTAAGAAGATTAAAATATTATGCAACCCTCCTGCTGCTTAACTTCTGTTTACACCTGCTAACTAACATTCATACAGAAGCTAAATTTTTTTTTTTTTTAAATCAGCCAGTAACCAGAATCAGTGCAAAAACACAAGTATATTTTTGTCTAGTTTCTAGTGCAAATGTATGAGTATACATGAAATAAAACTAATTTACAAGTATTTTTCAGTAAGATACAGGTCTCTATGCACAATGATATGTTTTGCACGTTCACTAATTTTTATCTTAATGTTTGCCTCATGTTGAAAACATAAAGATACCTTAATAACCTCACATTAATCAATATGTCAGACAGAATTAATAACCTAAACATCATTTCAGATGAGTAAAACGTATCCACTAAACCCCATGAAAAAGTTATGTTTAACTTATGCAAAATGAAAAATTACAATGTTTACATTTTCTTTAAGCCAAGTTTAAACTAATTAGATTTTAAGTCTTTTTTTTTGGTTTATGTCTCAAAGAATAACCACAAAATCTCATAAAGCATTTTTGTGTAGTTTCTAGTAAAAACATCTTATTACACTTAACATAAGGCAAAACTAACTTACATGAATGTTTTAGCAAGAAATAGGAACTTGTTTCAAGTATAATTTAAGTACTAGATTATTTCACTTATAACAAGATCTTTTTCTGATGTTACAAATGAAGTAACCTACTAATGAAACATTTTTATATCAATATTAAGGAATTACTTACTTAAAATAAGCCTCTATATCTTGCTCAGTTTTGTCTTATTTCAAGATATTTGCACTAGAAACTAGATCTTACTTGGTAAGATTTTGTGTTTTTGCAGTGAGCAGGTCAAGTTGAAAATATTTTGATGGCTAATTGTTGATTTCTCTGGACTTCTCCACCTAAAAGAGAAGCACAGAAGTGTCGTTTCCACTGTTTGTTAGTTTTAAGTCAGTAATTTCTTAATATTGATACAAAATAACTTGCTCAACTGGCAGATTATTTCACCTACAAGACATTTTCCCCATGTTACAAATAAAATAATCAGCCAGAAGCTTTTATTGGCTGATTAAGTATATATAAAATATATACTTCCTTACAATTAAGGAAGTATATATTTTAAGTGTACTAAGATTATAATATAGATAAAAATGCTTTGGAAGATTTATTTTTTGCAAAGTCTGAAAATGTGAAATGTGAGAAAAATATGAAGAAAAAAATTTAATTGTGATGTTTTATGATTTTACTTTTATGATTTTTGTTTTTTATTTCCCTGTGTCCTGCAGAAATCCTGATAATGATTTGAGATTGATTCTGCAGACTCCCGTATGGCGGTAAAACCAGAAGAAATGCAACCAAAGCTGCCTGACAGGAAGCGGCGTCCTTACACGATGTCGTTGATCTCCAGCATGGTGTCAGGAGGAGGATTGATGAGAACGTAGGACAGCGTGTTCTGGTGGTCGTTCATCTCGTCTGTAAAAAGAGACAAGAGGCCTTGAGAGCCACTCTGCAGCCCTCCCTCATCCTTCTCTAGTAGACCAGCCAAAAAACACGGCCTCTAAACTCTGACGCTCTGAAAACCTCACTTCAGAGAAAAAGTCATTTGAGTTTAACATCTAGAATGCATTTTCTAGTTCTTTTATTCTTTTATTATTTAGTGTTTATATGCAGACGTTAGTCATTATCAGTATTTGAATTTAGAGAATAATGATACATGATATTATGCTCTAGAATAACTGCTGCAAAGAATAAACGGAGAATCTTACATCTATGAAATGAATGAATAAGAACTGGTTTATATGATTATGTAAATATAATAATTTGTTTCGTATCATCAGTCTGTTATTTACACCAGTAATCATGTGGAAAAATGGAGATAATGTGTCGCAATTCTGCTCAACAAATTCAGCTTAAAATTTCCATTTAAACATTTGAAAGCTTCTGGTGATGAAACTTTCTTTAAGCTTAATCTGAAAGTTTCTAAAAGTGCATCTACTGATGACGAGCAGCAGCAGAAGAAAGAAACCAAAGATTTATGTAGGTTTACCTCTGCCTGATGAGAATTTGATTGAATTTAGGATCAGGGCCATTGAAAAAGAAATCTGACTTTAATCTCAGAATTTTGACTTTCTTAAATTTAGAACGTTTTTCTCACATTTCTAACTTTAATTTCTGAATTCTGCCTTATATTTTGGAATATTTCAAATTTTTCCTCAGAATTCTGATTTTAATTTCAGAATTGTTACTTTTTCCCCAGAATTCTAACTTGTTTCTTAGAATTTTGACTTTAATTTCAGAATTTTGACTTTTCCTCAAAATTTTGACTTTTATTTAAGAATTGGCTAAGAACATTTTTTCTCAGTGGTCCTAATCCTCTTTTGTACAAATTACTTAAAAGGAACCATGTGACACTTGTAAATCAACATTAAATATTCTTGGCGAACTTTAATTAAACATCCAGATTGAGCAAAATGAACAGGTTTCATTAAGTCAGGGACTGAAAGTCTCTCAGTGTTCAGTGTGTTGTGTTCAGGTGTGCTGGTGCTGTGCTCCCTGCCTGTGGTTCCTACTGCACTCTGTGATGGACGGAGGAAGGGAAAGGAGGGCGCGTGTGTCTCCATCACCCACCTGCTTGTGGCCCTTTACAAAGCCAGGCGGGGTGAGAAAGAGAGAAGGGCTAACCGTTACTGACAGGCCACTCTGTCGAACAAGGGGAGGCCCACATGCTGCCCGCTGACCCGAACAGAACCACCATGCGCAGCGTCAGAACGGTGCCAACATGCAGACAGAGTCCGCCACAGATATAACCCCCGCCCCTCCATCGCATTCGCTGCACGTCCTGCGCATTCCACGCGGGCGCAGCAGGCTGGTGGGGCCATGCCACAGGACAGCACACGCAGCTTCCCCCGCTGAAGCCCCGGAGGTGACAGGCGACAAGCCCACAGACACAGAGGACATGCTCCAGCATCCGCCAGACCGGACCAAACGCAGAGCGACTCAAACCAGACTGAGAGTGAAGCAGAACACATCGGGAGTGTGAGAGTGGAAGAGGTCAGGTTTGATCCACTCACTGACTCTAACGTTTGTTCACACTGGAACAAAAAAACTAAATCTTACCAAGAGTTTTGGGTTGAGTTTCTAATGCAAATATCTCAGCAGACTTGAAATGAGATAAAAAAAATAACTTACAAGTTCAGAACGAAATAAGAGCTTGCTGTCAATCGATTAAAAGATTTAATCAGATTAATTACATTCTACGATTAATCGCTATGCTCAACTTGAATGTAAAGATGAAAATTTTCAAAAAATGTTTAAGAAAATGTTTTATTGTCTCAGTTTTCACATCGTCACTTTCCTAAAATAATCCCCAAGTCATTTTTTGCCAAAAGGAATTTCTTTTTGGAAAAATCACTTTTGACAAAAATAACTTAAGATATTATTTTAGGAAAGTGACAATATTCAGAAAGGCTAGAATATTATAAAATAAGTCATTTGGTTCAAATGTAATTTAGAAATGTTCTAAAGATGTGGAGCAAAGGAACTGAGGACGGGAGTCGAACTCAGGACTGTCTTAAGGACATTATGGTTCCTTAATAGTGATGAAAAGTTATATTTCCTCTAGCAGATTATTTCACTTACAACAAGATATTCTTACTCATATTTTAAGTGAAATTATCTGCCAGTTGAGCTACAAATTTTTCATAAATATTAAGAAATTACTAATGTGAAACAAGCTCATATTTCTTCCTGAAAAGTTAGTTTTGTCTCATTTCAAGTGTCAAACATTTCCACTAGAAACTAAAACAAAAACATTTGGAAAGATTTTGTGTTTTTGTTAGTTTCTCTTCTAATCCACACCTGAAAACACAATCCTCAGAGGATTAGATAAGGGTTATATACCATGGCCAGCAGCTTCTTACCGACAGTTTGTCGATATCTATTGATCCAACAATGATGGACACTACACTGTAAAACATTTGAGACACATTCAGTTGTATCTACTAACTTCTACTCTTTAAGTCAAAGAAAGTTTTAGATTTGAACTTAAATGTGTGAGTTTGTGAAAGATAAACAAGTTGTGTTAGCTTTTTGTTAGTAGCATGTTTTCTATCATGTGAGTTAGTTACTTTAACATGCCTCTTGTGTGTTTTAAGGCTAATACACATTTTAAAACTGTTAGTAGGAGAGTGTCTTTAAGCCCATTTCAAACTAAAAGTTTCAAAGCAGAATTTATTGTGATGTTTAATAAAATTTATTTTATTTATTTATTTTATTTCGAATGCATTAAAAGACATTTGTTCAAGGATTTAAATTCTTATGCATTAAAATAAGTAGTTATTTTAACTTGATAATGTGAGTGAAAATACAGAAATGTGTACCTCAGAGCAGTTATCTTACCTAATGTGGAAAAATTGTTTAAATTGCAGTTTGAAGTTATAACACTTCACTGTTAAAGATTAATGAGCTACCAGAACTTAAAAACTTGTCTCTTGGCTAAATCAATTTGATGAATTTCAAATACAAGGTAAAACAAATACCAAGTAATTTTGGTTTAGTATCTTCGTGGACTTTAAATAAGACAAAACTAACAAGTAACTTTTCAGCAAAACATAAGAGATCTTGTTTTAACTCAATATTTCCCAAATATTGATAAAAAGTTGTAGTTCCACAGGAAGATTATCACTTATAATCATGTTAATAATTCTTCAAATGTTAAAAGTGAAATAATCAGCCAGTGAAACTAGTTATTTTTCATCAATATGAAGGAATTATTTACTTAAAAAAGTGTCTTGCTGAAAAGTTAGTTTTGTCTGACTTCAAGTGCAATAAGATATTCACACTAGAAACTAAACCGCAATAAGATTTTGTGTTCATGAAGTGTGTTCAGTTTCTTTCTGTGATTTTCCTGCAGCAGATTTAACATTTCAGCGAAATGCTCTGCAGCACCAGCTTACAAAACTCTGGGGGTTAATGACCATGGTATAGAGCTATAATCCACTCCGAGATTCACTGATGTTCAGAAAGAAACAGGCTGGAGATAACGGGACGCTACGGTGCACAGCAGAACGTCGTTTCCTCCTCTAAGTTTAGACGAAATTTGGGTTCGGAGTCTAACCTTCCATCCACAGACATAATGCACTCCACTCCACTCTTTAAGCCAAACTCTGATGCCCTGCAGGACTCTAGCCATTTGGGACGTCACCTCACAGGAACACAATGCAGCAAAGACCAGATAGACAGAGAGACAGAGAGAGAGAGACAGGAGAGTGAGAGGCTGGCTGCTGATCTAGCACTCATCCTGGCAGGAAACACACACACAGAGAAACACACACACACACACCCACACCCACGCACACACACTCATGCAGTGAAGTTGCAGTGTTGTGATCAACCAGCTAACCTGACGGCCTTGTCCCCTCTGTATACGGCTGCTCTGAAATATCCTGCAACTCTAAGCAACGGTATTCACTGTTAACTTCAATGTCCTCATTTCTTTTTGTCATTAACATAATTAGATGTGTAACAATACAAACCTATTTGATAATCTCTTTAATAACTCAAAGCACTGGTTTTTACTGGATGCTGGCGAAAGGACAAATTCCTTTCTCCACCTTGGACATAAGCAGTCACTTTGTAAAAAAAAAAAAGGGTTATGAATGACATAAATTACCTTGCAAATATCCTAGATTTACTCGATTCATGACATCACTCGCTGTGAGATTAGAAACATCCTCTACAAGCCAAGAAAGGGGAGACAGAGGAGTCAGAGAAAGAAGGGGAAAAACAAAAAGAAGAAGGAATCAAACAAAAAGATCAGGCAGGCAGTGAAAGCTTTGGAAACGTTTTTTTTGGTGACACGTGAGAGCAAAGCAAAGAGCTCATGCATTGCTGTGTGTATGGAAACACCTCCAGATGATTTACTTGTTAAATATCCTGCATCACAGGTTTAAACATCCCTGGCACAACGCCCAGTTTTTGTGATTTTAGCATCCAAGATAAATCATTTAGGATCTTTTCCAACTCTATTGTGACAGAAAAACAGAAAAACAAACAAAACTTTTAGAGGAGAAAAATAGGAAAGCTGTTATAAACTTAAATTACTTATTTGGTGAAACATCTGTCTGTCTGCAATAAAGAAGTTGAGTTATTCTACTGGGATTTTTCTGCTATTTTAATTATGTAGCTGAAGCTACAGTTTATCAACAATATTTTTACTAAAACTGGATTCTTCACCATAAGTGGTGAAAAAGACCAGATGAAAACTGATCAAATATGTATCAGTATTCCCCACATATCTGTTTCTATAATTCATTTTATTTGTTGTTTCTGTTTTGTTTATTTATTTTGGATATTTAAATTGTCTTCCGGTTCCAGTGTTAAATGATTATTAAAATTTAAAGTCAATGCTCTTTGAGAATCGGCATTATATTAGTTGAAAATGGTCTCAAAACAACAATATTATTGTTTATCACAATTCTGGGACAATTTTGAAATTAAATTAAACAAAAGAGTTGATCGTAGAAAATAAACCAATATTAACTGGAAGATAATGGACAAAAACATTGCACTAAAAATTTCTTAAATGACTTATCAGGGTTTAATTTTTTAAAATCACAAAAACACTGCATTTTAAAAAGGTGTGTGCTTCTTATATCCACATTAAACACAAAGGTTTACAGCTGCAACACATCTGGAAAGTGGTTCTGATTTTAAACATGAAGCAGAAAGAAAACGCATGAAACTGAAAAGAGGAGGATGCAGGCAAAATGCAACTCATTCAAAGTTTAATGCTCCTGCATCATCATGCAGTATCTGCTCATGTTCACTTGTTTGTGTGATCGCATGTGTGTGAATTATGGCTGCATGGATGTTAATGAGGGTTACCAAGGAGACGGGATATTTCTGAAGGACCATGGTACTGAGTGAAATTAATGAAATCCACCATGGAGAGAAATGGGATGAGGTAAAATAGCTGTAGCACAGATTGGAGTTTTAAACACAGCTGATCCCACAACAGAATAATTTAACTGGTTGAGTTGAGCCTCAGTGGGCAAAGCATTCATTCAGACCTTGTAGACTCTTCTAACTTTTATAAGTTTACTTTGAACTGTAATGTTATTATCATACAACGGGTGTTTTGATGGGAGGAGACAATACTTTTTTTATTTAAACAATACTGAGACCTGGATTCAGATGGATCCTCTCAAGGCTTTTTGTCACAGTTTTCATCAAAAACAAAAATTTACTAACCATACGAACTCAAAAAGTGACATACTAACATTATTCCTCGATAAATGAAGTGAAATCACTTAAAGTGAGTTAATTTTGCAGAGAAAAGGTCTGTGTCAACATCAAGTCTTGTGAAAACCCTCTTTATGGTTGTTCCACCAAAACAAATCCACTGCCAAACAAGAATGGTGCTTGAATCCAATCTTTCATCACAGCAGACATCTCTTCCAGTTCAAGTTCTGAATTTTTATGGATGATTCCAATGCAGGAAGACAGTTTAGCTGTCTATTTATACATCATCTTTTTAAATTATTTATAATTTTATTGTTTTCACCAACAAGTAGTCCAATAACTAATAGAAAAGTATGTTTTACTGTTAGTTTCAAGCATCTGACATGCTGATGTGAGCAAATCTATATCAATTGAGACAGCACAGCATAGTGTGAGACTAAGTACCGTATTTTCCGCACTATAAGACGCACCTAAAAACCTTCAATTTCCTCAAAAGCCGACAGTGCGCCTT